TTAATTCGAATTGATTAGCTTTTCTTACTTATCTGTTAGTTTATAAATTTTTTCTGTTTTGATGTATTTATGTCTATTTCGGATTGTTTCGAATTAATTCGAAATATTGTGCAATATACCGCAATATTATGCTATAAGTTTCGTAATATTGTGTAATATATTTCGTAATATTACGTTATATATTGCGCAATATTTCGCAATTTATTGCGCAATATTATGTCTAGACCGTAATTATTGCGCTATTTTTCAGAGCGTAATAACTTACATAGGATTACGTTAATATATTTTGCTGATGTTGATACTTATTTAAAACACTCACCATTGCTGCATCAAAAAAGTAACCCTCGTGTTTCACGTAAAATTTCGCGACATGAACAGATCTATATCATAGTGCGTTCAAATCGGTTCTTAAAAAATTTTCAAATGAATAAAAAAATATCATAGCAAAAAAAGCGAAGGAGTCACTTATAATAATTGGAAAGTATACTGTTTTTATGTCTAGGCCCTATGACAAGCCAAGATTCCTGCTTATTATATTTTCCCATCATACGACCACGATTTATCAATGGCGAATGCATCATTTGGGTGTATTGCTACATGAATCGCTGAGTTTTGCAATAATAAGCAACAACCGATCGCTGAGTTGGTTAGGAATTTTGGTAGACCGCTGAGTTATTGCTATAACACATTGGGGATCACTGAGTCTAGGCCCAGTGTTGAGTCGCTGAGCTCGTTACAGCTTGTCATTTAAGCCTAATATTTATTATTGCAGTGTAAATACAGTCAACTATCTGTAAATCGTCCGAGCTAAAAAAAAATTTCTGTATATGGCTTTTTTATTGATCCGTCCGTTAGCAGTAGTTGACTGAACATAATTTGTTCTGTATATATTTTATTAACAATTACTTTCTCATGTTCTTAAAATTGATATACTTTTCTAGCAAATTAAGGATTATCCAGAAGTTAAAATTTTTTGGGATAATAAAGATATCCGGCGTACCAAAGTACAAAACGAACTAAAAACTTTACAGATTGAAACTGAAAATGTAAGTTTTTTGACCATTACAGTATTCTATGCCATACAGTACAAGCTATGATTAATATTGTTCCATCAGTTAGATTATGCTCTCAACCGAGGAAAGGAATTGGACCTGCATGCTAATATAATTGGAAATAAAAGGAAGTCAATATTGCAAGGGATGCAGGTGTATACTTTTCAGCCATTGATTTATATTTTGTGATTTTATTCCTAATGAACTATAATTTTTAATCCTTAGAATGATGAAAATGTAAGTTCACGTTTTTTCAGATTTTTCATAAATTTATTTATTTTTTTTTTTTGACGATCATGCCACATGCCCTGCTTTTATTGATCATATATGACAATCCAAAGGATTTTTATATTA